GATGAGGAGGTGTCTGCGTTCTGGCGATTTACTCGGAAGGCTTCAGTTGAAGCTGCCCCAGCAGCTTCTACTGAAGCCAGTCCCCAACTCCGGGGACTTCGGGTGGCAGTATACACCGTGAAGTTGTTTGCGGCCTGCCAGTAAACCCAAAGCAGAAGAAGAAGAAGTGGCGTCAGCGGCTTCATTTGACTAATCCTCCCTCAGGGAGTTATTCCGGTGTGAACGCGATCTGCTCTTTAGTTTATCAGAACTAAGAGTTCATCAGAACTAAAGAGTTCTGATGAACTAAGTTCTGATGAACTAAGTACGGCAAAGTACTTGGTGTGAAAGCGCCTCTTGTGGTATAACCGGCAAAAGAGAAAGCCTTTGAGCTCTATACTGTTTCAGAAATAATCCTTCTTATTTTTAAAAAAAAAGCTTTCTTTTTTTATTTATCCTTTATTTATACAGGTGAACATCTCATTGAGACACAGGGTCTCATTCTCAAGAGAGACCTGTTTACACCCAGAATCAGCACTTTTGGAACAGGAAGAGAAATAGAGGGATATGAGGCATGGCTAGAATGGGTGATCTGTTTGGTTTTTTGACCAAAACACTTCATAGACATGTTTTTTAAAAAAAAATTATATATATATCTGAGACCTATGCTATTGCCTAAAAATATCATGATAGGTGACTTTTAACATTATTTTTTATCTCAAACCTTTAATGCTTTGTAGAGCTGCACAAAAAAAAGTACATATAAACCTATATTTTTCTAGCTCTGGGTGTTTATTTCGTTTGATTTAATCTCTTTATAACCTGTACAAAAACTGAATTGGCCAAAACGCTGCTTGTTTGTAGTGAGCAAGATTAAATGAAAGATACTGTGAAGTATATAATTCTCTGGATAAATACAAAATAAATCATTTTACCAGAGATTGCTGCTTAGTGATTCACTTAGATGTCCGGGTCTTGGTTTGAATATAGTCTGATCATAAGGCAAATAATGCATTATAGGGTATTTTTTCCTGACTGCACTCAAAGAGAACAGCATTCACACTCTCCTTTATTCTTTAAATTAAAGAAAGGGGATAAGTGAAATCATTTATTTTACCTTCAATGTCTGGTAGAAATAAAGTGCAGTAAACATAAACAGACTTACACAGTTTCACTGAAATTGTAGATAAACAAAATATTTCAAGTCTATTTTAAAACGGCATAGACTTATTTAAAGGGTTTAAGATAACACTAAACTGTCCTTAGCAAGTCAGAATTTCGCTTGTTGAAGTATATAGTGTAAATTTAAAGTCTTTTTTGAGAGGGAGTGAATAAAGTTAAAAAAAAATGTTTTTGTTATTTTACATTTGTACTTTTTATATTTTCTGAAGTAACAATTAAACAGACTTTAAGATGTTCCTGTGCAGCACATTTGAATCAGTATGAGACGTTGCAAAACGAAGGGATTTACAATATTATTCATAATTATAATAATACTTTACCATGATGAATGTTGTGAAATATTTGATCTCAAAATGTTGTATTGATAATGTTTTTACAACAATTTCTTGTTGAAGCCATGGGAAACACACATCGACCTCCCCCTCCACCTCGCCCGCCAACTCCCCCCCACCTTCTCCAAAAGGTAAGTAACTCAACATTTTTCTAAACATTGCCTAATAGATTAAATCAATCAAAATGGGACTAATGTTTTACTGCAAATATTCACTTTACTTTTCAGTTCTGCCTCACGAATGAAGGAACGGTCCATGGGAGTGAGTTCATTTTTCAATGTGTGGTGTCTCTGGTGTTTCGTGGTTTTTATTCAAATACCACTTTTTAAAAGGACAACTATGAACCTGCACACTCCTTTGTTATTCAATTGTTTCTATAAGTTGTCACTCCTTAGAAACATGATGGGTTTTTTTTATTGGGTCTCAGTGACACCATTATGCAAAATTGATAATAATTTGATCTAAACTAAAGTCTAATATTTTTCCATTGAACAGAAATAAAGTGAGAGATTTACAGATTTTGAAGGAATACCAGCCTTTTAAAGACAAGGTTCAGCTCCGATTTATGCTTTATGGACCTGTTGGTGCTGGCAAGTCCAGCTTCATCAACTCTGTGGAAAGTGTTTTACGAGGCAAAATAGCTAATCAAGCTAAAACAGATGCGATCTCTGGCAAAAGCTACACCACAGGCGTAATAATCCCTTTTCAGTGTTATCATGAAGAATGTCTTACATTGTAACACTCGAAATGTAACAACTCTGTTATCTATTATATTATTTTACTTTACTTTTCAGCAGGAGACAAACTTCTATGGTGGCCCTGAAAGTCAAAACATAAAAACCTTTCACAAGACACAACGGCAATTAAAAAACATGAAGTATTTGTTTATCTGGCTCAGTTGTTAGAGCTGGTGCCCCATGCTCTGAGGCTCAGTCCCTGCTGAGGAAGATGCACGTTTGAATCTGGCTTGTTATATATATATATAAAATATTTTTAAAAATACAGTTTTTCATTTTAATGTTTTTGTTGTTGTTGCATTTTATGAAATGATGTAATGTTTTGACCTTTAAGGCAACCTAACTACCATGGCATTATGGTAACGGGACTTTCTTGTCTTACAGCACAAAGCCTACAAAATCCAAAAAGGAGGACCCCCTGGTCCTCCTTTACCCTTTTGTCTTCAATGACATCATGGGCCTCGAGAAGGAGTTTGCTTGGAAGATATCAAACTGGCCATGAAGGGACACGTGAAGGATGGTTAAAATATACAACTGAATTCATTAAACCTTATCTCTGTTGCATGTATTTGAGTAACATAATCCCACTGCCTGATACATTTTTTGCTCATGAAATATAGAAAACTAACAATGTTCCAATATAAACTATTAGGGATGTGATATACCAACAACTTTTTTTTTTTTTATTTAAAAATGTTTTACTTGGAAAAATGTTCTTTATGAAATAATACATCTGATTTGTACAGCATTTTAGTAGGATAGCAGTATTGTAAAGTGTCAAAAACAAAGTGACAGTAACAGACTGGAACAAGAAAACCAGTGTTTTTGTACCTACTAGTACTACCAAACAAAGTAGGCATTTTCTTTGTGCCACTGCACCTCACAAATAAACAAGGACATTTAATAATCAGACCCCGCAATAAAATAAATCAAGTTTCACTTTAGTTTTTCAAGTAACTCAACTCAAACTCACTAAGTCACTCACTCAGCATCATCAGACAGGTTTTTAGGAATATGAGCATGTCCACATTTCCAGGTAGAAGCTGGGATGTTTGGGCATTTACAATATCCCCTGCTGTGGAAAAAACTCTCTCGCTTGTGTTGGAGTAGAATACCTCTGCTACGCGCCGTTCATTGGATGAGGCTGGATCTCTATTAAATTAAGAAAGGAATTGAAAACACCGGAATCAAAGTTATAACAAATTATCTGAGTTTACTTCTAGTAGGAAACCAAACACATATACAAGTTATACAGAGTACTCGAGTACTCCGGGCTTCAGGCCTGATGATGCGGTTTTACAGGTAGACAGACCAGCTTTCAGAAAACGAGAAGTATGGACTCCAGGTTTGTGATGCGGTTTACCGTCTTCTAGCACCAGCTTTCAACAGACCAGAAGCATTTTACACTCAAAATCATCAGTATTTCTATCCATTTTTGGGGCGGAGATGGGTCATCTCTTCCTTCCCACTTTTCTCCCAAGCGAATTAGAGAACCCCTGGGGAGGAGCTGTTTAAACTGACCACCTCCTCCAAGTGTCCTGATTGGCTGCATTCGCTTCTGGCCGGGTTCAATCAGAGGTCTGCCCAGCATGTGAGATCCCAAGCCACCCCAGGTCAAAAGTCAATGTTTATCTTTACCTTATCTTACTCTACATTCCTTTCCCAGGGGATCTTTTCCTATTTTACGATGTCTTTAACGACTTAGAAACAGCATCTGGCTCTTAGAGATGATAAGGATGTTGGTGTGTTGAAACACAGAATCTCTGAGCCAGTGAATTTAAAAGTGAGAATAACATTCTTTTTCTAAGTGATTATCTAAAACAGTTCAAAATAATACATGTTTACTTCAATATAGCGTAGAATCATATCTTCTTACTTCACTTGGTACTGATGTTGCTGGGACAGCAGTGGTTGCGTTAACCGAATATTTATTTAACAATGACGGAAAAATCTAAGACAGATTAGAACAAACTCGGAACAGCGCCAAAGTTTCCCCGCAGCGAGGCTCTGGTGTTATGCCGTGTTATGCATGCCCTCCAAAAGGAAATGATATAGTTTCCAAACCGTACTTTGCCGTACAGATCATTGAAATGTCTGGGAGTTTTTGCTTTACGCTGTGCGCGCTCCCGCGAGGTGCATGCATATCTCGGTGGGCATGCATAACACGGCATAACACCGCCCCCCCCCCGTTGACAGTTCACGAGCGTGCTCTCTCTCTCCCCCCCCCCCCCGTGTCAGCGCGACACGTTAGTGGCGAGTTCAGACCCGACGGGTAATAATGGATGATGACGGATATTTTACAATCCTGTCTGTCAAAATTACGGACAGCGAAAAAGTCTAACGCCACCTCAGTGGGACAGAGAGATATGCTTTGGCCATGGGTGACGGCAGTGGGTCAAACTGTGCATTATCTCTCCACCACTTCAAAAACAATACCGTTTTTGCCAAGAAGGTGAGGCTTATTGACAAAATGTAATTATTTATTTTTTTAAATCGTGGTAGATTTTGTCAGTCTCACGACGGTATTGGGACGTTTATTCATCGCGATACCGCGATATTCGATATATCGTTACATCCCTAGAAACTATTGTATTTCTGAATTCTAATGTAATTGTTTGATTCAATTTAACATTGTTTTCCAGTTCAATCCTATCTCTACCTTGTCTGCGAATAACTAAGACTACAACAGAGACCCCTCTCTAAAGAGTTCATGTTCTGGTTTGCATCATCCCTGGCAGCATAGCATTAAATGTCAAATTCTTAAATGTAGATTGAGGAGGTGAGTGGCGAGCTGGGTTTCCCACCAAGCTGCATCTTTCCTGTGAAGAACTACCACTCAAAAGTGTTTTCCCGGGTACTTGACACCTTAGGTATCAAGCATGTGACATCCAGCCCATATCATCCTGAAAGTCAGGGGGGCATTAGAGAGGTTTCACCAGACTATGAAATGCATGTTAAGAAAACATTGCCACGAGTCTCATAAAGATTGGGATGACGGTGTTCCTTTAGTGTTATTTGCTGCCCGTGAAGCTGTTCAGGATTTAGTCCTGCTGAGCTAGTGTTTGGACATGAGGTCAGAGGTCCTTTAAGAGTTCTTAAAGAGCATTTGATCATGCCAACGAAAAACAATTGCAGTATCCCGGAGTATGTCGCCAAACTTAGGGATTGTCTACATCGTGCTTGCTCCTTGGCTAGGGAAGCTCTGACCTCTACCCAGGGGAAGATGAAGAAACGCTACGACCAGAAGGCGGTAGAGCGCTTGTTTCAGCCAGGTGACAAGGTGTTGGTTCTATTGCCTGTACCTGGTTCTGCTCTGTCTACTAAATGTTCTGGTCCTTATGTTGTAGATAAGAAGCTCGGTGAAACGAACTACGTCATTCAAACACCTGACCGCAGACGTCCTACCAGAGTGTGTCACATCAACATGCTGAAGAAGTACTGCTCCAGGGATGACCAAAATGAGTCTTCCAAAGCTCACCAGGTGGGGACGACCGTCTCTCCTATGGCTTCAGAGGGTGAGCTCAAATGAGGATGAGGATGAGTTGGTGATGCGCAGTGCAACACCACAGGGGGCAAGACTAAGCAATACTGAGGTATTGGCTGATTTGCCCAATTACTTGTCTCATCTCCCTGATAACCAAGAAAGTGATATACAGAAGCTGATAGTTGACTTTGCATGTCTTTTTAATGACACTCCCTCACAAACTTCTGTCCTAGCTCATGATGTGGTCTTGACCAACCCTTTGCCGATCAAACAGCGTGCGTATCGAGTTAACCCAGTTAAAAGAGAGGTTATGAAAAGGGAAGTTGAGTATCTACTTTAAAATGGATTTGCAAGGCCTAGTTCCAGTCCATGGAGTTCCCCTTGTGTGCTAGACACAAAGTCCGATGGAAGTCCCAGATTCTGCACTGACTTTCGCAAGGTTAATGCTGTCACTGTCCCCGATGCACACCCGTTACCGCTCATTGATGACTGCATCGATGAAATTGGTCCTGCACAATTTGTCAGTAAGCTGGACATGTTAAAGGGATACTGGCAAGTTCCTTTAACACAGCGTGCTTCCGATATCTCAGCCTTTGTGACACCTGACAGTTTCCTTCAGTACTGTGATGCCTTTCGGTATGTGTAACGCACCTGCCACCTTTCAGAGGCTTGTAAATCTTGTATTAGGACATGTTCCAAACTGTAAGGCATATCTGGACGACATTGTTGTCTATTCTAATGACTGGGCTAGCCAGTATTCTGTGTTGTACTCCTGTTCTTTCTGCACCAGACTTTTCGAAGCCATTCAAGCTCGAGGTCGATGCCAGTGGAGTTGGGGCAGGGGCTGTTCTTCTACAAGAAGATGCACAGGCCATCGATCACCCCGTGAGTTACTTCTCCCGAAAGTTTAACAAACATCAGTTGAAGTACTCTACTATTGAAAAAGAAGCTTTAGCTCTATTGTTTGCCTTGCAGCACTTTGAGGTGTATCTTGGCTCCAGTGTAAAACCTATTAAGGTAAACACTGATCACAATCCCCTGGTTTTTCTTACAAGGATGTACAACCACAATCAACGCCTTATGCGTTGGTCATTGATTGTCCAGAACTACAACCTTGACATAAGCCATAAAAAGGGGGCCGATAATGTTCGTGCTATGTAAATGTTATTGTCATGTCCAAACATACTGTTTGGATTTATATGTGTGGGGGTGTTACGTGCCAGGCAGGCTGTACTTGTGTGGTTCTCCTTCCCTCCTGTGTTTCTATCTTCTCCCTGTCTTCCCCACAGCTAATCAGCAGCTGATCAGTCCCTGCCTGTGCACCTGAGTCTGATGGCTGATTGGATCCTCTCACCCTCAGCTGGCCTATCAGCAGCCAGGGCCGACCATAAAGGAGGCACCCAGGAAGTCTTCTCCCTCTCTCTCACTCTGGGCCTGTTGCTGACGGAGGAGCCTGAATTCGACTGCAGTGTTTAGAAAGTCATTCTACCTTGTTTGTTCTGACCTTTGTGAAAGTGTGTGTGTTGAGAGGTGGGGGAGTTAGGTAAGTCTGGGGTACCCTGTACATTTCTCATCACGTAGGTAACTAATGTTTAGACACTAGGTTAGCGGATTGTTGCCACCCCTGTATTCTGTTTTGTCCAGTTCTGAGTAGTTTAGTTAGTGAGGGTTTTTGTTTGAGTTTTGGTTTCAAAGGATAGATGTAGAGAGAGGCCTGGTTTTGTTATGCTTATTTATTTTGTTTGGCACAGTCTCCTTTGTCTCCTCCTCCTCTTCACACAAAGAGTATTTCTGTTCAGTTCTAGGTTTACAAGGAATAAACCTTTTATCAACCTTTACGCTGACTCCCTAATTTTTATTGGTTGTTGTGTGTTGTCTCCAGGTCCCCTAGACCTTAGTGGGGATGTAACACTAGCTCGAGACAAGTGATGACACTGATACACTGATACTGAGCGCACTGAGACGGATGATTGAATCTGAAGAAGACTGTCAACCATCTGTAAAACTACATACTGCTGAGTCAGGTCTTAAAATGTCAGTCTTGGAATGAGAATGATAATTACATGAAGTGGGCAATGTGGCTTTTAGGTTTAATTTGCAGCCTGTAATGTACCATATCTATACTATAAATGATGGTATCTATCATCCTAATGAGTAAATATGAAAAGGCTTTATTTTTGCATGATGATGTTGTTAGTTTTCCTTTGTTGATTAATGTGGTAATTTATCTGGCCATCTCCAACTAATCAATAATCTGAACATTAGGAGGTCAAAAGACGTTTAGATTTGTGATTACAGATGCTGTACCAGTCACTGATTAAAATATATTTTCCTATTCAATGTTGGACGAGATTTATATTTAACATTTTTACTACATGGTTCAGGTAGAAACACAATAAATCGCAAAAATATTGAAATTTGCTATTTGTCTTTTTGTATGAACTTTTTTTCTATTCCACACATTACTTTCCAGTAGGTCATTTCACATCTGTCCACCAGAGAGCTCAATTTGAGTGAAATTTGAGTACTTTTCCCTGTACTTTCCCCGTTTAGTTCCGTTAGTACCCCTTATGTTGCGTTCACACCAAAAAGAGTACTTAGTGCCGGGAACTTTTACCCCCATTTGTAGTGCCTGCTAGAGAGGTGGTACCAAAAAAGTACCAATTTCTATTGGCTGGGCGAATTGCAAACCATGCCCCGTAAAACAATGCAAAGTTTTGTGAAGCCGCCATTGGATTTGTGGCATTAGCATCATTAGCATTAGCTCCGCGCACCAAACGAGAGAGAATAACTTATGGCAACACAAAAAAAAACATGGGAGCGGTGGAGTGATGAGGAGGTGTCGGCGTTCTGGCGATTTACTCGGAAGGCTTCAGAAGAAGTAGAATTCTACTGAAGCCAGTCCCCAACTCCGGGGACTTCCGGCCGGGGACTTCGGGCGGCAGAATACGCCGTGAAGTTGTTTGCGGCCTGCCAGTAAACCCAAAGCAGAAGAAGACGAAGTGACGTCAGCGGCTCATTTGCGTAATCTTCCCTCAGGGAACTTATTCCGGTGTCAACGCGATTGGTACTTAGTGCCCTGGGGTTCTAAGTGCCGGGGCACTAAGTACGGCAAAGTACTTGGTGTGAAAGCGGCTAATGAGGATGCAGATCGAAGCTACAGAAAGGTTCCGAGTACAAGGGGTCCTATTTGAGTCTTGGGTGCTAAAAAAGAATAACTTGATATGACATGAAACCAAAGTATCTTCACTAAACAAATGTGAAACGCTTTGGAATGCATTTTAAAGGCTGTAACTCCTTTACACAATCTATAAAATATAAAATAAATCATATATATAGTCTTTTAGCCCTAACAATAACCCTATATAGCAGGGGTCGGCAACCTTTTTGATATGAAGTGCCATTCTAAAAAAAAAAAAAAAAAATGTATCAGCGTGCCGACGATCGTGAATTATCAAGGGGGGGGGGGGGGGGGGGGGGGGGGGGGGGGGAGAGGGTGTTGAAGAGCTCGACGAAAACACTCGTGAAAAGTGATGTTTAAAACTCAGTGAATGGGGCTCATTCACTGGCGCTTCCACAAACAACAACCAACATAATTGTTACATTCAAATGAAGTAGCCTATATTATTCAAGTTTACATTAACTTTGGATAATAACACGGGGGAAATGAGCGGAAGCGCTCTCTTTTCCTCTCTCCCCCTCTCTCTCTCTCCTGACAGCCTGTCAGTATCTCATGCAGCTCACTGATCCAGTAATGAGTGACAGTGAAGAATAAATATATTTATAACTAGTTCCAAAGGTAGATCAAATAGCTAAGTGTGTTAGGTCTAACTCTTGTGTGTTCTGCTCCGCTCACCGGTCCGTCACAGCGGGTGGAGCTGCAGGATTTCTGCTTCACACACGTTGCATACCGCTATTTTATTGTCTTTTTCGGACACCTTAAAATACTGCCAGACTGGTGAAGCGATTTTGGCGAGCTTGTTTTGCCGCACACAGAGAAAAGTGTCATGTATGTTACGTCTCACGATCGGCCTTTTTGAGTGGGGCTGCGTTGCGCGCATGGCTTCCTTCTGCAGGTAACGGGGAGACGCGCTCTGGCGGCGGTCTCGTTCAGGATCCGAAAATAAAATAAATATTTTGTACACTTATTCCACTTATTCCTAGTGTGCCACTGGTTACGGTGCCGCGTGCCATTGGTGGCACGCGTGCCAGGGGTTGCCGACCCCTGCTATATAGTATATACAAGTGTGAATATAACATATAATTAAAACTACATTTAAGTAAATTAAAAGAGGAAGGCCTTAAACAAGAAGAGACAATCCAACATATTATAGAAAATGAGGACTGACATCCACCACTTGTTTTTTTGTTACAGAAATTATGATGTTTTGAAATGTTTCAATGCTCTCCTTTTCACTGGACCCCATAACTCTAATCCTCTAACTAGAAAATGCATTTCCTGCAGAGAATGCGTGCGAATGCTGTAAACTGTGAACATTTGTGGCTGAATTTAGCTGAAAATGCCGAAAAAGCTGAATATTTTATTAGTTGAATGGTCTCTGTAGCTGCTTTTAGCTTCAAAAACCTAGTAAGTGTGTTGCTGAACTTAGCGGAGAAATGCAGAAAAGTGAAATGATTTTTAATCAAAATTGTTTCAGAGCTCAAATGCATTGCAAGGACTTTGTTGAAAACGTGAAAGTGAAATGTTAAACTGGAAGAGAAGGACAAATAGTGAAGTAGCTTAATATTTAAAAGAAAAGGTTTAAAAAAGGTAAAAACAACTAAATGTATAGCCTCAATGTCCTGACATAGCTGAATAATGTAATAGTTGAATGGTTTCTGTACCTGAAAGTAGGCTGAAGGAGTTAGCAAACAGCATTCACACTAATAACTCCTAATATTAACAGCCTCTGTATTGATTTCTAATCTACTGTTCATAGACCTGCTCTTATTAGAGAAGCACTGAGCGGTAAAACACCACAGCAACGGAGGTCTCTGCTCATGTCACTGCTTAGAGAGAGCGAGGGCTTCATACGTAAGACGATAGGAAGAACACTGTTAAAGTATCAACCAATCAATAACACAGAGACCACAGCCTGGTCCTCTCAGAGGGGATGCAGAGTTGGATGGTGCATAGGCAGAGGACCACATGCAATCACTTGACCCTCTATCTATCTGCAGGAATACTGGTGACATGTTTTGATAAGTCATTGGGTGGGGCTGTGCTAGGCGATAGAGAGAATATATGCAACAACAGAGTTCAGATAGGCATTGAGCTTCATAGTACTGCAGCAGGTAGAAAACAAAAATAGGAATCTGCCCGAAAATAGTCACCTCAGCATCTATATATAATTATTGGTACCACTTTACAATAAGACTACTCTTATAAAGGATTCATAAAGGGTTTATAATTAGGTTATGAATTAGGTTGTAAACACTTTATTAATCATTAAGAACCATTTATAAACCAGTTCTAACATAGTTTTCATACGTCAACACAGGCTCACTATTTGGCAAGATGACTAAGCCTTATATTGGCTACTTAGCGAGAATCAACTCAGTGAACAACAGATAACAAGGATGCTGGCTGATGAAGAAGATTATGTAAGCTAAGTAGCCAATATAAGGCTTAGCAGTACAGATAAATGTGGGCTCACTATTTGGCAAGCAACCGGTCACAGTTGCCCTGTTTATCTCATGTCTTATAAAAGCTTATTCATGATTTATAAAGTGTTCACAACCTAATTAATAAATGAATTACAAACTATTCGTAAACCCTTTATAAGAGTAGTCTTATTGTAAAGTGGTACCAAATAAGGTATATATAATCTCTTAGCCCTAACACTAACCCTATATAGTATATACAAGTGTGAATATAACATATAATTAAAACTACATTTAAGTAAATTAAAGGAGGAAGGCCTTAAACAAGAAGAGACAATCTAACATATTATAGAAAATGAGGACTGTGATATCCACCACTTGCTTTTTTTGTTATAGAAAGGATGATGAGGTTTTGATAGAAAAAATATGGAAGTGTGTCAATACTCTCCTTTTACTGGACCCCTACTGTAACTCTAATCCTCTAATAAATCCTAATATTAACAGTCTCTGTATTGATTTCTAATCTACTGTTCCCAGACCTGCTCTTATAAGTGAAACACTGAGCGGTAAAACACCACAGCAACATGGCAGTCTCTGCTCATGTCACTGCTTAGAGAGAGCGAGGGCTTCATACGTAAGACAATAGAGTGGCGAAGGCACCATGGGACCTTATTTCGGAAAAATAATGTATTGAAGTCAATGGAGAGAGAAAACTTATCTTTCGATCCCGTTTGAATTGTGCCATGAATTACACATATGATGTTTGTCAATCTTAAAAAAGAATTTCCATGTCAAAAAAGTCACAGTTTGTCGTAAAACTGTTGAAATATAAGACTATGAAAAATACGCAACTAGAAAGACTACAAATCCCAGAGTCCTGTAAGTGATGTCACAATAGCTAAGATCAGCGCCATATAGATATAATCTATCTATATGGCGCTGGCTAAGATAAGATAACTTTAACAAGATGCCTGTGTGCTTAGTACCAGGTTGTTATCATACCAGCAATGGGTCTTGCTCATTCTTTCGCTTCCCGTCTGATGAAAGGACTAGGAGTGTCTGGATCAAGCTAGCTAGTAGCTAGCACGTTAGTTAGCATTACAGCCGTGTCATTTTTATTAGCCTTAACATGAAGTAACATGAAGTAACCCAACATGTTAAACAGTATAGTAGTAGTCATATTTCGTGAACCCTTTGAATAGTACTGTCACCGGTGTGATCATTCTATAATACA